TATATATATATATATATATATATATATATATATATATATATATATATATTACTGCTATAATTTATTTAATGTATGTGGTTATTCTATAATTAAAGATTCTATAATTAAATATTTTCTTTTTCTAAGTACATAACTGGTTTGATTACAGATGTCACAATAAGGACTGGAAATTACAGTGTGTAGGCCAGACAAAGTCACCACAGAAATAAAAAAGAAAAAACATTTTAATCAATAGGTAGAGTAGATGTCACAAACATAATGCAACACTGAATGAGATCTTTTGAAATATAACAATCTTTATTGATTTATGAACTTGCAGTATCCATGGGTGCATCAATACTATGTAACTTTCAAATCACAATTAAAGGAACCTTCAATGATGTTGGTTAAAAGCACAGCACAGTCCAAGCAATACATTTAATCAAAGAAATATGTAAAATAAAAGCATTTATGTGGTCCCAGGAAACAGTAACTACCATTATAACTTCAGTGGACATTGTCAAATCTGCCCAACATTGCATATTGTATCAGATCCTTCTCAGAGAAAGTACTATATGCCCTCTCAATCTAGTCTTATGTCTCTCCCTCCCTCTTACATTACCTCTTTAAATTTCAAGCCCATTATCCCCCATTATCATACCTGAGTTATGGGTATCATAATGCTTCTAATCTCTCTTATCTTTTCAAGTGTCTCTGCAGATTCACCAGCTGGGTAGGTGGGGCAGTAGTTCACTTCGGCCTTCCTGGGCTTCTTCACACCATAAGCAGGATTGCATTTGTCTGCAGGTTTATTTGTGAGGGAATTCAGTTCAACCTCTGGGCATCCAAGCCACATTAGCTTCTGTCTGTAGTTGGCAAGTTTGTATTTTAAGCTCACCTTCCAGCCACTATATCCAGTAGCAGAGCCTGGTTCTTTCAAACATGGATGGGATGTGACAAGGGCTTTAGCAACCTCTTCAAACTCACTGTCTGAGGGGTACACTTTGTACTGAACAATTGCTTCGGCTAAACCGTCAAGAACGGCAGTTTTAAGTCTAATATCTGGATTAAAAAAAGTTCCGCTTTCTTTGAATGCAGCATTAGCTTTGTCCAGCTGTAGCTCACAATCATATGGGAAACGGGGCACAAGAAAAACAACAGGCCATCCAGAGGACCGTGAAGGGGTGGACTCAGGAGTAGACAAAATGTCTGCATCATACGAGCTACTGGATGAAAGTTGTGGCTCGTTACTAGACCATGATGGGCCAGGAGTGGAGTAGGGTTGAGGGGGTAGAGAGCCACCAGGCAGGTCAGATGCAGCTGAATCAAAGATGAGCTTTAAGGTACTTCTGTCCTGGATCTCTGACACTGAAGTCAAGTTGGTAAATTCATTGCCAAACTCTGCATCCATAAATTGCAGCCTGAAATGGGCATCTGCCCCACACTGACTCTTAATGTGCTGAACAAGTTCACCAACCGTATCTGGAATTCCATCTTGCAGGGTAAGTCTCTGGGAATTGTTTTCCCCGAGGATAATTCTGAGCTTTACTGGAGCAGCCATGTCTGTAAATAAAAACAAAACATATGAATACATATGTCTTTGTACAAGGGGCAGCGTGTGGATCAGTGGGCTAAGCCGTGTGCCTGTAATCACAAGGTCGCCGGTTCAAACCCAGCCTCAGCACGTCTGTGGGTCCTTGAGCAAGACCCTCAACCCCCAGCTCCCTGGGCACCCCAACAGGTGGCTGCCCTTCGCAGACAACTTACTCTGCAAAAAAGAGCAAGTTGAGGGAGGTGTAAAAACAATTTCCCCACAGGGATCAATAAAGTATCTATTATTAAGAGTAAATCTTATCTAAGGTTTTGATAGAGTTATTTCCATTGATTATATAAAAATAACAGACCAAAAGCTAAGAGCTCATTTAAAATGAAAGCTACAGTGTGTAACGAATTCATGAAAATACCTTGGTTAGAATAAAGAAAAGTAGTGCAGGGATAAAATATACTGTAAGTGTCACGCCCCGCTCCGTCCGCTCCCGATGTGTGCCAAGCCCACCTCGTTACCTTGTGTGATTCCCTGATTGTTCTTACCTGTGATTCGTTACCCTTAGCCTGTGTCTTGTATTTAGTCCGTGTCTAAGTCAGTGTACCCCAGATCTGTCATTGTATTGTCCGTCGATGTCCGTCCGTGGTGTATTAAACCCAGTTTACCTGACTTCCTGGCTCCGATCGCCTGCTTCCCTGCTCGCCTCCTTTGCCTGAACGTGACAGTAAGGTCACTTTTCCAATGTCATTAAAACATAGTTCATGATATTTCCATTTTAATGCATTTAATATTTGTTAAACATTTCTTCACCAGTTCAGTTATTATTTTGATAGATCTATAACTCATGAAATGATTACAGCTCTTCTTTTAATTCCAAGAGAGCAGTGACAGTCCAATTAACATAAAATCAAAATGCCATCATACCTTATACATGTATGTATCTTTTTAATGTAACCATTCTGAGAGACCCAACCAAGTAGTCTGTCAGAGGGTAGTCATCTGCCAGGTCACTAAGCTCAATCAGATCTATGTCATTGGTTGGACAGGCTGTGAGCTCAAAGGCTCTGTAATGCTCACTATACCACCCACAAAGTCTCTTAACCATAAAAAACAGTTTCTCCTGAATTACAAAAATGTGAACAATCTGTCCAAAGTCAGGAAGTCCACTTGTGGACCCATGAGCTACAATCATGCCCTTTTTGAAAGTTACACCTTTGGTTGACACAGATCTAGTTATGTGCACCTTTCTTATACCAGGAAATTTCTGCTCAATATTCTCAACAAATTCTTTTTTAAAAACATCTACAGGAACTGTTGAGACATTTGTCATCTCAAGAGCAGGCTTTTCAAAAGTAGATGCTCTCATGTGATATGAAATCATGAGCTGATGCTTGAAGGCTAGCGAGAGGGGCACATTTTTGAAGCAGTTTGAGTGTCGAATGATGTGCTTAAAACAACTGTGCTTGGCCTCAAATCGCATCGTCCAGAGACCAACGAGAGGACCAAACTTCCTGATGAGTGCAGGATAGTGCTCTAAGAAATGATGTTTGGGTAGAAGCTGCACATTAGGAAAGAGTTCTTGGTATATTTTGCGGTGCTCTGAAATTTTGCACTCAAGGTAAAATATGGAGTCTTCTGTGTGTGTTGGAGCAACCAATAGCTCTACAATGTCTTTCAAAACCATTAGAATCAGCCATGCCATCTTGTCTTCCGGCACCATATGCCCAATGTTGAATGGGAGAAATCTTATCAGTGCCCAATTCTCATGAGCATTCCCCCCAATTGATTTTGAGAATGTTTGTGGGATCATGTGAGGCCTGTTAGTTTTATCTGACCACTTGTAGGGAAAACTAAGAATAGATTTGTTTAGAAGCTCTAGACTGAAATATTTCTTCAATATCAGCAGTGACAAACAATGTGCAAGCTCCACAGGCACAATGCCCTCAAACACGTCATGCATGATATCTGGGGGATAACCTGTTTGAACACTAAAGTGGGCAAGGTTTTTAGTGATTACACACTGTCTTTTCACCCCAAAACTGCTTGAACTGTTCTTCTGTGCTGAATTTACATGAGAGTCATGTAGTTCTTTAGTCCTCAGATCAAATGAACCTGATCTCACGTCTCTCATTTGGATCTCTGTTCGTGTTGCTGTGCAGAATCTGCAGATGTTTCCAGCAGTAAAGCTCTCATTAAAACCTGCTATACTGTGGGCACTGAGGTTATCTGCTGCAACAACTTGAATAGTCCCTTTAACACACTTACCAAGCAATGGAACAAAAATTCCATCCTGCTCAAGGGTTTTTACATCTTGTAGAAGAGGATGCAAGACACGGTCATAACTATACTTCTTCACATCATTAGATTTGCACAGGACTGCAAGATAAATCGAGGAAAGTGCTGAATGTGAGCCTGGAGGCAAATTACTCAGAGTCCAGTAGATTCCACAGAGCTTATGTTTCCGGCAGGAAGTACCCAAAGGATTGCATACCTCGAAATCATCTATGTACAAAGTTAGCAAGATTCTCAATTCACCCCCTGAAAGAAAACCATTTCCCTTAAAGTGTGAGCCATCCTGAAATGATTTATAAGTCTTGTGTTCTCCAGTTATCCCATGACTCTGATGTGTTCTGTGGTTTTCAACAACTTTATCCACAACATCTTTCCTATTGAAGAGCTGTTGCAAACTCTTCAGTATAGGCACATACTGAAAGCTATTCTTTTGCCTTTCATCTAGCGTGTACTCAATTGGCTCAATGACATTATAGTTTTCTTTGTAAAACTTGTTTCGGAGATATGATGTGCTCAAACAGCCACCCTTCTCTATAGCTTTTAGCAACGGGTGAGACGCAGAGAGGGCTGTGGCTACTTCTTTTATCACTGACTTGTCGGTGTTGGAATCATGTTTCTGTAACACAGCTTCAATAATGTTTACAGAGAGAGGAAATGTGGCTGTGCATAACAAATAGTGCAGTTCCTCTAAAAACTCATCGATTTTGGTGCCTGGCACATGCGCAAAATGTTCTAGTTTCAGCAGAGCTGCGGCAAAATTCTGCTCAACTATGTCAGGCAGGGTCTTGCTTATATCCACATCATTACTTGGAGATGCACTGTTTGATTCCACTACAGAGTCATCTGGGTTAAGAGTATCTTCCTCTGCACAGTCAGATGATTCTTGTGAAATTCTGGTTATTGTCACCATACCTGGTTTAAAATCATTTAATGTATGGGGGTTGTGTTTCCTGTTCTTGTGGGAGTGAAAAGTTCCATAGATATTTGTTTTGAAAGTACAATCCCTAAACATACAAGTGACAGTTTCATGATTCTTAAAATGAAGGCCAATATGTATGAAAAAATCCCTCTCTGTAGAAAGATTGCTACAATTGCACAATGGACAACTAAATGTTTTTAATTCCAGTTCCTCCTGACAAGTTTGCTTAGGATGAACTCTACTTAAATGTATGTGCAAAGCATTTAGTGTCTTAAAACTGCACGGACAGTTTAGAAGTGGGCATGAATAATGTTGTCTATTGTGGTGCTGTAGTCTCAAATGTTTAAGTAGATCATATCTACCAGAAAAAGATACACTGCACTCCTTGCACCTCCACATATCAGTTACACATAATAGTAAAAATCAAGCACATCTGGGCACAATATTTAACCTCTGTTTCTTATTTTCCCCTTACTTGATCTTAAACAGCTTGCCATTATATTTATACACTAAAGTGTTTAAATCCTGAACCTGACACTAGCAGATGACTCCCTGTTCCTGCAGTCACTCTTGTTCGATGAAGTCAGATCACATAGAACAGGACACTTTCAGAGGAGGACGGCGAATGGAGGTGGAGACACTTGGAAGATGACACAGGACATACATTTCTGTGATAAATTGAGAGAGAGAAAAGAGAGACATCAATTCTGTGTTATGTAATGACTTCAAACAATCTTAAGTAAGGGAGCTACAAATCTTAAAGGTTAACAACATGAATAAAATATAAACATATAATTTTCCCTTTCCTACTTTTAAGCATGTATTTCTAAAAAAACTTTATACAGTGCTATTTAAAAATACAAGAGGTAAAGCAATACATATCTGCACTGAATCAAACACCAGCATTTCGCTCAGTGAAAATACAGTGCTGTCGTGTTAGTGGAACAACTGGTACGAGTGAAAAGTGTGTGTGTTACCAATTTCTCAGTAAGGAAAGTAGCTGTTGGCTGTCCTATTAGTCGGCAAATGATGTCATCACCTAATATGCATAACTGGCCACGTGTATGTAATAATTGGCCAATTGTAATGTTCGCTCTAGGAGATAGGAATAAAGTCGTGGGAGAGACAAAAACTGAGTACAAAAAAAATAAATAATAAAACCCTAAATATGTTTAAACTAGGGCTGTTGAGCGAATTACCAAATTACTGAATGGTGATTTATCGATAAGGTACATCTTAAACTGTGGTTAAGGAGTTAGTCATTTTTGTTATAATATCTGAAACGTTCAACACATAGGCCTTCTATTCTGTCTCTGGAGCAGAATAATAGCAGAATAATTCTCACTAAATTGTCTCTCATTCACACAGAGTAAGAGATATGGCTGCATACACAAACATTAGCGCTTATAGTATGAAGTAGGGCAATATCTATGTTTTCACTCATTTATTCATCACCGTGACTACTTAATCCAAACTGGAAATGACCAGGGCAGCAGCACTAACCACTGCACTACAGTACCACAATATTGTTATACCCCGGTATATATATTCCTGACCAAATACAGTATGATACAGTATGACTTCTGTCTCTCTCTCACTTGTTTTCCAGTACTACAAACATTTTTTAAGGTGTATGTGGAAAACTAACGAGAAAACTAACGAAAACGCCATAAACGGCCTAAAACAATTAGCGATTGCGGTAATTTAAACTCAGAAAAACAATCGTTTATCTTACAGTTTTTTCCAATCATTTTCACACTTGTCTCAATACCATGTCCACTTTTTCAAAACACTTAACACAGTGGGCTGTACCAATACACAACTGAGCACACCACTTAACCTTTGGTGCAAAATGCCCTACAACCACCAAAACGTTTCACAATTCACCCAAAA